TTTTTTTTTTTTCCTTTTTTTTTTTTTTTTTTCTTCCATATTGTGTTTATTTTCTTTTGAATTTTCCCCTGTAGGAGAAAGTTGAACAAGTGATCAAGCACCTTATATTCTTCTGTCATTAAGTCCCAGGAAGGGTTATTTCACCTTTCTAAGCATGGTGGGATGCTGTGATGTTGTTTGTACTAGTATCTTACTTTCTGTTTCCTTTCATAGCAAATCTCTCTAGATCTATACCATAAACCACATATACTTTTTCAATAAAACTCCCTTTTATACTGGGCATTGACTTTCTTTCATTGTCACAGAACCTACATTTCAATGACAGTTCGCTTTATGATGGCTGGCTGGGGAAGAAAGGAGAACCATTTCTGTCCTGAATTTCGCCTCCTGCCAGCTGTAACTGATAACCACTGATAACTACCACAAAATGCAGCATGTGCTGTCACTCAGCCTCTCATCTCTGTAGTATAGCTCCTGTTTCCCCTGGCTGTTGAGCAGCCTGTCACTTTTCCCTGGCCCTGCCAAAGTGTTGCCTCTGCACCTTTGACATAAAAGTATGGTTTTAGGGTTAGCATCTCTGCATCATGCTTAAGTAGAAGAGCAAGTAATGAAAGGCACAGATTTCAGTAAAGGCTTTGTGGCCAGGTCCCAGGCCTCGGTCACAGAGCCATGCCAGAGTTCCTCCACATCCCAGAGCTGCTCCAGCTAAGTCTGACTGAGGCTATGTTCAAGAGAGATGGTAAGCCTCAATCATCCTGCCCTGGTATATGAACTGATATGATCCTCCCTGCCTTCCCATATCGGCCTACTTCTTCCTGTTTTTGTTACACGTGGCACCAGGGTAGCTTCTGCAAGAGGAAAATGCTCTTGGGCTGAACCAGACCAGAGACACGGGATGGATAGGAATGTGGACTACCAGTGTTCTGGCATAGTGGAAAGAAGGATAGAGAGCCCTGGCAGGGCAAGAGATGAGGATGGAGAGCAACTGTGTACTAGGTAGTAGGAGGGCTCAGGATGTATGAATATGGCTGGTCTTATTCAGAAACAGCAGCTCCACAGCAACCCAAACTCACTGAGATCAGACTGAAAGGTGTGCAGAGGCCACTGAGCTCAGGGCTCCACTGGGGCAGTGTCACCCTGCTGCCTCTGGTGCATCCCTGCATCTTGCAGGGAGTAGTGGGTTTCTCAGGTCAGAGAGGAACATTGGTGTCCGAAATAAAATCACCTCAGCACTCATGGGTGGTTATTATGAAACAGGTGAGAAGCCGATGAGATCCAGTCCAACACCTGGTTATTTATAGTATTCTGTAGGGTAGCAGTTGACAGGCTGTCCTTACCACAGGCTGACCATCCACTACACCCAGGCTCAACGCTGGTCCCTGCAGCACATATTTGTTGCTTCAGGTTAAGACTGCCTGATGCAGTCTCAGTAGGTATTAGTAGCTCCTCAGTAGGTAGTTTAGTAGCTCCTAAACAGGCATAGTCCTGAAGCAGAGGGATTTCAGTAAATATTCCAGTACTGATTAAGGTCCTTTCCAGGCTTTGTCCTAGAGAGCTTAAGTATGTCCCAGTCTGAAATAGTGTCAGGTTTAAAACTATAAAGTAAATGAGTCAGAAAACATCTGTACGTGGAGGACATTAATGTTCCTCAAACAAGTCTGATTATAACTCACCACAAGGTGTCCCCAGTACTCTGCGTATCGTTTGAATTTTGGCCAGTATTTTCACACTTAACAAATTGATTTCAGGAGATATAGTGGTTTGCGATTTATGATGTACATTAAAGAAGATTAAAATGAACAAAAGAGAAGGGGGAGAGGAAAAAGAGCCTGTCATGTGAGAGTGTAAATAATAAGTGCAGATGAGAACTGTTAAGGGCTTGTATGTAGACTGAAAGGAATTGGAAAAGGTGTTCATTTCATTGGGCAATTTGCTAATGATGCGTGTGGAAATAGAGCCTTGTGTTTTTTTCAATGAAAGTGACTCTCCATGTCAACATAGAATTCTCAATTCCCAATTCCCTTCCCAAACCAGGAGTTTGAATGTTATTGTGGTTTAAGTGTTTTTTTTCTTGTTTTCTGTCCATTGTTGATTTTGTTGTTGGTGGTTTGGTTTTATTTTTCCCAAAAGGGTCTAAATAACTTAAGAATCAGTGGGATTTGTGCTTCTGTGTTAAGTCCTGAAGATATCAGATGCTTGATTCTCTACAGACAGCAGGGTATCCAACTACTCACAGAATGTATCCCAAGTGTGATTTTCAGAATTGCAAAGGGATTACCACCCAGGATCTGCATGATACCAAGCTTATAAAAAGACATTTCGTTAAGTTTCACAGAGTTTTTATGTTATGGGGGACTTTTCATGTTACAGGGACGTTTTATTTTATGAGAGATGAAATTGCTTTGAGCAGAGTGCAGATTTCTAAACTTACAAAAATAAACATTCACTGGAAGAAAGAGGTAGGCAAGTGAGGCTGTCGGTTACTTTCCTGATACACCTCAAACTGTAGAAAGTGAGCTATAATCTAACTTGCTACACTAGCATTAGACCATACTGAAACAAGAAAAACCAATACTTACAGCAGTGGGGTTGAAAGAGAGAGTGGGTTGAGTAGGTGTGTATATAGAACGTGCATCTTTCTTGGGGATTTGAGGCCAATTAGGCCAAGACTTCAGTATCCCACATGGAACTTAACAAAATACTCCTCAGTCTGGCCAGATGTTACTGTGCTCAGTCAAACATTGTTTTCCGGGGATAAACAAGATCCTGGCAAAAAAAAAAAAAAAGCATTTTTATCATTCTTGGCTTCTTAGATCAAACCTGAAGTATTAAAACATCAAGAACATATTTCCCACTGCAAACTCTTCCTTTAAGTACTGAAAATGCAATATTTATATCCTGATTTTAGCTGGTGGTTCCAACAACTAATTGCTGTTTGCAATCACATCTAATAAACATCATATGCTCAGATTCTTCCTTCAGATTTTTATCTGTAGACCAAGTTCTCCTTGGCTCCTGCTCACATAGAGAATAGCAATATTCCTTAAAATGTATTCCATGGCCTCCCAGATTTCTAGAACCTGGATAACTTGTTTTAGCTACAGGCTTCATGGCACATACCTTACACTGAAGATTGTTTTTTTACTAGGCAAAACAAAATCACCCATTAGAGTATCATTTCTTCTTTCATAGTCCAATAATATTATAGTGTCATAAAATGTCAGAGAGTATTATAGATCTCAGAAGACCAGAACTGTTTTAGTTCTGGCAAGATATACGGGCTAGGCAGTCAGTTTCCCTAAGAATGAGTAAATAAAGCCCATTGGCCCCAGAGGTGCTCTTGGTTTAACACGCTTCGTGTTGCTTGACTCAGTTTAAAAAGCTATCAAGGAGCAGAAACAGACACAAGTGACCACTGAAACTGTTGTGCAGGTCCATGGACTGAGTCAGGAATGACTGCAAGAAATGGGAAGTACAAAATTCACTACAGTGATCTGCCAGTGCCTTCATGCCTGCTCTGCATTTTACAGATCTCCTGTGAATTTGTGCATGACTGTTAAAGGTGCATTAAAAGCTGTTCTGAAAATTGGACTTTTATGAGAAAAAAATGGCTAACAAAAGTATAATCACACGAGGATGTCTGACTAAAGTGCTCTGTCATGCTTGCTTTATCTGTGCTTAAGCCTTCTTCGTAGAGTTTATTTTTGTCACAGGACTGCTGATGATGAGGAGCTGGTACTGAAGTATCAGCTAAAGGCTGATGTGATCACTTAAAATGACCACATTTGCTCTGGAACCTGAACAAGCAACACGTAAACAAGTTTAATGTAAACAATGGGCCTCACCCACAGTGCAGATATCAGGATACAATATCTAGAGGACAGATGAATCTCCCCTATAAATGTGATCTTCAGTATGGCAGTATTCTCTTTCTGAGGTCTCTCAATTTATTATCCACTACTGTCATTAGTAAAACAAGTACTTAGCTCATGGCATTCTGTTGCTCATCTTTTGAATCAAATTCTCTGTGATTCTTGTAGTGTCAGAAGTTAATAGTGCTAAGCTCTTAAACAATGGCGCACCAACTCTGTATGATTTGTCTTATTTTTCCAGATCCTGTTTTCCACTTGCTTAGGTTTTCTGTCAAATATGAAGTGTGGATGATGAACAATTACTTAACTGATCAGAGAAGACCAGAGATATTCCAGGGAATCTGTCAAGAAATGATAATGTGTCAAAATGCTTTGAGGAAACTACTCAGCCTT